ACTCAATGACCTCACAGGTCTTTTCCAACCTAATTGATTCTGTGATTCTGTAAAGGCAGGGTATGGATTTTTCCATGCAGGTAAACTTTTCAACATACAGCATGAGACTGCGCTCTGATCTCAGCTCTGTGGATCTTGCCTCCGTTTCCTGAAGACCATGCAAGGGCAGGTATGTCTGGAAAATTCAGCAGATGATAACTGACATCTCCAAGAGCTGCAGATCCCACGAGATTCAAAAATTTTGCATTACTGTATATTTTTTAAAGAAATCAGCATGCATTGGTGATTGCAGTCTGAAACCTGAGCTCTTCCTTACCTTAAAAATGGAATTAATCTTGAGCATCAGCCAGATGCAATTTCCTCCTCCTTACTTTATCTGAGGCATCACCTCAGAGGCTGCTACTGTTTGTGACAGTTGCCTTGGGCAGTGCTGTGGAACTGTTGTGGGATTGTAAAACACATGTAGCTCTTGTGCATTATTAGAATTGTTGGAAGAGGGATGCAGGAAGGGACTTGTGTGTAGGTTACACATGAGTTTTTAAGCAAATGTACAAGGTGGGAATGTGGGATATAGGCAGGATCTTTATCTGTGATTACAATTTCATATCAAAACCAACATGGACAGGCTGAGGCTTCTGACCAATGGTCACTTCTCGGGAATGCCACCCTTGGCTCACATGTGACATGTTGGATTCACGGTGTGGTGGCAAAACTGGCCTGATGGTGAAAGAAACAATGTAAAATTTAGCTTTTGGCTATTAAAAAGTTTGGATTTTTCAACTTTTGGGAGTGTAAAGCACCTCATGAGTAACTGAACAGAAATGTGTCTCCATTTGGATATAAATCCATTACTCACTTTAGACATGGGCTGGATCAGAACCCAGTTAAGTCTTCTGGAGCTCTGCATTGTTAGCAGAAATGTGTTTGACAAAAGTTAACTAATAGGAATATCAGACACAGAGCACAAACTCCTTAAATGAGACTGTCATGGTCTTTAACAGTTCTGTGAGCAAAGGTGGAGAAACAACATGATGGATTCTGAGGGAGAAACTGGATACAGAGAGAGAGAACTGATCCGGGTGAGTCTTCTGCTGGAGAGAAGTAGGACTGACCATCATTGCTTATTCAGGGGAAAGGGGCATTTAGGGGAAGTGGAGATCCCTTTGGTAAAAGTTTAGCACTGACATGTAAAGAGATCAGTAGGAAAAGAACTCTTGACATGATAACAGAGGAAAAAAGAGTGTGTGAAATAGAGATGAAGGTAGTAGAGAAGGTGTGATTGATAGTCTAGAAGATCCAAGAGGTGGTGTTGGTACTATGAGGGTAAGGAATCAGCAGGAATGTAGTCACTCTGGATGCTGACAGGTTTACTGGCGTCATGAGGTCACAAAGTTAACTCACCTAATTTGCACTCAGGTATGAAATCAGGTGTTCCCCCAAAAGCATGAGAGGAGGCTGTGACAGCCCCCTGGTTTACACACACAGCCTGTATCCCATATAGTGCTCCATCCTGGACACCACTTGTAGCTGTTCACAGCAGGCTGAGGAGTGGGGAGGGGCTGATGTGTGCTTTCTGTAGGTGATGGCAGAGAAAAGAGGCTCAGATAGGATATATCCATAGGAATCTTCTATGGAAAACCCTTCTTGTCCAGCAAGGCTGCACAGGAACTGTCATTAATAAAACCAGAGTCGTTGTGGTCAGCCCTAGAAGTCAGGAAATGCACCCAGCTGGACTGCTGAAACTTGTTTTGGTTTTCACTCCAGGAGGGATTCTGAGATCAGAATTTATTAGGAAGGGATTACTGCAATCCAGAGATAAGGAAAAATTAAGATAATGCCTCAGTCCAAGCAAAGGATGAATGCCAAGGATGTGATTGACAGTGAAACTATTGACAGGACTAAAATATGCTCATTCCTTTAACCTTGGAAGTTGCACACCAGGTACAAGGTAGAGTGCCCAGCTGGGACTGAAAGGGGATGCTGGGAAACTGTCTTTTCCTTTAGGAAATTATATCAGGAATGTATAAGGAAACTAGTATGACATGATCATTCCTGACTAAAAATTGTCCAGGAAGAACAGGTTAGATCAGGGGATACGTTACTCATTTAAGGTTCCTGTGGATTCTTCATATCGTTATTTTTCTGTTCCCTAATTAAAGAGATGTTTTTGAGGAAGAGAAGAGGTAGAGAGGAAGACAACAGGTAGCAAAGAGAGAGAATAAGTTGGATAGATCCTTTGCTTACAAAACTTGTGGTAAAGAAAAAACCACTTCAAAACACAAAAGTAAAATGAAACCTAATAACTTAAGGGTCTGGAAAATATGCTGATTCTGTAATAATGTGCAATTTTAAATTTTCCCTGAGATCTTGAAGAAACAATTCTATTGATACCAGAATTGGCTGACTGATGTTGATTCTTGAAGTTTATGTCAAACAGGAAGCAGCTCTGTGTTCTATGGGAAAATAGAAAACCTTATATTTAGGAGGGATGAAAAGAGGATTCAGAAACATAGGATTTTCTCAAATAGAGCACCGAGAGAAGTCTTAGCACCCACTAGCAAATTATAGAATCATAGAATGGTTTGGGTTGGAAGGAACCTTAAAAATCAACTCATCCCACCCCCTGCCATGGGGAGGGACACCTTCCACTAGCCCAGGTTGCTCCAAGCCCCATCCAACCTGGCCTTGGACACTTCCAGGGATGGGGCAGCCACAGCTTCTCTGGGCAAGCTGTGCCAGAGCCTCACCACCCTCACAGGGAAGAATTCCTTCCTCATATCTAATTTAAATCTCTTTCATTTCAAATGAACAAAGGCTTGACAATGGGGCTGAGCTGAGACCCAGTCAAGGAAAAATTAGGAAGCTTGAGTCTTAGAAAGGGGTTTAGGATGTGACTTTAGTACTAAAATAGCCCATTTTAGAGCTTGGTTGCCTTCATGCTTTTTATGAACTTTGTGTGTTTGATTCAGAGAAGAATGGGGACTCCACTCAGACATGCTTAGAATAGCACCAATGTGCTATTCAGATACTGTAGCAAAAGTCAATTCTAATTTATTTCCATGTATTACTAATGTCATTGCATGAATCATTGCAAAAGATATGGAGATGAGAATTAAAAAAAAAAGAGTTAAATTGGAAAGGCCTAGTATTTTTCATACATTGCCAGTTATGACATTTAATCTTAATTGTGTCTGAATTTGACTGATTTTCCAATTGCCTGATTTTAGCAAGAGTTATGTTGTTGCTAGGACACAGAGGCTTCTTATGATACATCTATCATCAAAGTAAAAAAAAAAAGATTTTAAAGACTGATTCTTGTATTTACACTCAGAAGTATATTTTGAGCAGTGATGTCCTAATGCAGAAGGACCATAACACACTTATTTTGAAATAAAGGCTTTGACAAGTGGTTAAGAAATCATTTTTTAATCTCTCTGTGCATAAACTGGAAAAAGCATGATGCTCTACGCTAGCTCTCGTTTCCTGTGGTTCCTTAGTCATGGTTTGTTTATCATTTTCATGTTCTCAGCAGTGAATTTGGTTTTTTCTGTTTCTATTCTTTTGTGTGTCCTGGTACCACTCATTTCTGCCATTGACTTTTTTCCCCCTTTTAAAAATTAATAATTGATTTTTAAGAGCAGTCACAGATATTCTGCTGGTTCTGCATTCCCTCAAAGGGTATCTGCTGTTGTCATGACACAGGGGAATTCACTGCTTGTGTTTATATGGACCCTGAACCATCCATGTAGTAAGTCTATTCTGTATTACAAGTATTAATTACATAGTGGTGACCTCCCAGGCCAACTTCTGTAATGTTTTTATGGAAAGATTTGAGACTATGATTTTTCTGTGGGGCCTGAATGAACTAAAGGCAACAGTTACCTTCCCTTCTGACTCTCTCACCCCTGAAAGGCCATAGGGAAATTTCTGTAATGATGCAGAACAAGAACTCTGAGGTCCTTGTCATGTGTGATTCATGTCCCTGAAGCCACAGAAGCTCTGCAGCAGGCTTAGATGTAGAAGTTTTAGTAAATGAACCTCTCTACTACTAATTGGTTTGAACTATTTATGTCTGTGACCCAACACTCCTGGCTCTGGTTGCATTTCAAGAACCAATACTTTGCCCTTGGTGACCTGGCAGGTTCTTTTTTAATCCTGAGAGAGAACTAGCATGGAAATGGACTCATTAGACTCATTTATTAGTTAGTAGTCTTCCAAGTTATGGCCATGTTTGGGTCCCAGTAAGTTCACATCACAGCCTGGCCACGGATCAACTCACTCAGCCACATTTATTACCACTACAGGGTCAGTAAATATGTAGGATGGCAGAGCTGGGAAATCCTTTGACTTCCTGCTTTTCTGTCCTGGAGAGAAGTATTTCTGGATAAAGTCTTAGAAACCACTTTTTTTCTTTTTTTTTTTTCCTCCTGAAGAAAGACTTCGAAGGAAAACATTTATTAATTTTTTCAGGAAGGATTGTAGAAAGTGTCATTATTGTAACAGAAATGGGAAAGCTGGACAAAACCCTCGAGGTAACAAATTATTCAAAGTACAGCGTAAGGGGCTCCAAAATAATCATGAATTTGAACTGAATATCAAATAATAGAACCATTAAGGTTGGAAAATTCCTCTTAGATCATTGAGTCCAACCATTAACCCAGCATTAACCCACCACTAAACCCCAGGTGCCACATCTATGGCACACATTTGTGCCTAGGAATTAAGAGGTCCATTTAGAGCATGTTAAAACATTTAATTTCCCAACTTTATGGGGCATTTTATTTCAGAACTGCTCAAACTCTTCCTTGATATCAACTTTTTTGGTTGGAACTTGAATATTTCAGCAGAGGAGTACAGTGCAAGGCCAAGGCCATTGCAGTGTGGGATGAGAACAGTTAGTGTGTCATTCATCTTCTGAGTTCGTGAAAAGCCGAAAGAAGTTTGAAATTTATGACAGTAGGAGACAATGAGTATTTTACTAGGGCCATTTAGGACTGTCATTTGCATGAAATTAAAGATGGGCCCTTATAAATTTATGTATGAAGTTCTGACAATCCACATCATTTTCGAGACAAAGATTTAGAATGTGATACTGGAATAACATTTGGTAGATATATTGCTAGATCAAAGTCTGTTGGTATTAATATGAAATTTCAGTTTTCTTTATCTTTTACAAGGAACTTTTTTTTAGCCCTGGAGGAGTCTCCAGTAATCAGTGGTTCAGCAGGATTTTAGCAGGCCCTGTGCGGGGAAGGGTAGATTTTTAGCACACTTTGCTGCTTGATGTGCTTAAATATTTTCTCCAAATGGACGTTTTTGAGGGGAGAATTCATTGCAGGGGGAAATAAAGCTCCTTTATCCAACATGAAGTCTGGATATGTCCAAAGAACAGATGACAGACATTTCATGGTGTACAGAGAAGCTCTTGTGCTTTTAGGGTGGAGTAGCATGTAGGTCCATAATACAAATTCAGATGCCATAAAAGAATGTAAGCAATAATGTTGTGTGCCAGAAAAAAGCAAAATAGATGATGTTCTACTAACAAAATATGCTCATGTTATTACCCTTGGCTAACATTACTGACTTAGTTTGGGCTTTGTATTAATTACTGAAAATTGTGGGGGGTTGGTCTCCCCAGAAGGATGGTTTATTATTACAAATACAGCTGACATCTTGCAACTGCCAACACCTCTTTTTTAAATAAATTCCATCTTATTATGTGTTTTAATGTATGCATCAGCTTGCCAGAATGACACTATATGAGAATATTTTCTTCAAGTGTCCGTGGCTACTAACCTGCTCGGATTTGAAGACCTTTGAATCCTGATGTGATCAGTAAAATGTGTTCCAGACATTTAGTTCCACTCCTTATCTCTATAGTTACAGAATGTATCTATAATGAATCATTTCCAGAACATCTGGATGGATGTGGATAATGAAATCCAACTGTAATTCATCTGGTTGCCACTGTACTTAATTTATGCTTAATATTTTATCTATATGGTCATAGAATCACAGAATGATACGGGTTGGAAGAGACCTTGAAGCTCATCTCATTCCACCCCTTGCCAAGGGCAGGGACACCTTCCATTAGACCAGATTGTTCATCTGTAGAAATTTGTTTCAATGAAATACTTTTTGTTTTTAAAATGCCTATTTATTTTGAGAGCAACATAGGATTTCTCCCATAAAATACAAATAGATGTGTGAGTACAAATATCTCCAGATAATTTGGCTGCCTGGGTGTTCTCTTGGAAATCTGTTGCTGATGGAGGGATGTGAGACAGTGACAATATCTTTGATCTCTGCTGCTGCCCATCTGTGGCACAGCAGATTTCCTGGTTTTTAGGCTTCTTTTCTGAATGCTTCTGGTTTATTATGAGATTCTGGGAATTTCTCAACCTCAAATGAGCAGAGCTGATGTTATGTGCACCCTTTCGAAGTGAATGTTTATTACCAGGTGATTCCTTCTACTCCTACATTCCTGTGATTCCTTTGCAAACTGTTATGTCATGGAATTTTATCAAGCAACACCATAATTTAGTCATTTGAGTGTGCAGATATAAAGATCAGGGACATGGAATATTGGGTGAACTTTTGTGGCCTGTTGAATTTGAATGATATCTAAGCATAAAAATATTAGGCTCTCTGAAAGCAAAGCTACAATCCATTCTTAATATGTAATAAGGTGGTTTTATCTGCTGAATAGAAATTATTCCTTTCTCAGGCACAAATTATCTACAGATGGAGGTCTATCTGTAATATTAACATTTTGGGGTTTTTAACTTGGCTTGAACTTTTCAGATTATCTTTTAAGACCTCATCTAGTATTAGAAGAAAACACATACAAGATCTGATTGATATTCCAGTATGGACAAGTCCTAATGATGTTAACACAGGAAGATAAGTCAGAATAAACATCAAATTATTTTTCTGTTTGTGTTTGTGTCTGTGAAAGTCTTGTGTAGTGCAGTGACTGATTTCTTTGGGGAAAAAATATCTTTGACCGTAGTGCTGGATCAGTTCCCTGCAATCTGTCTAAGTCAAGCTTTCAATATAATTTTCAAGCGTGTTTCTTTGAAGAAAGTATTTGACCTCGTCCATCATCATATTTCACTGTCACAATTACGATTCCCTGGAGAATTAGCCATGTTTGTCCAATATCAGGTGTTCTGTTGTGATGCTCCTCACTGGTAGGGAGCTGATGGTTTGGAAATGCAGTTCTGGAGGGGAATTTTGTGACCTTGAAGGACAGATCTGAAGTTTATGTCTACCTGGTTTGGAAATGCAGTTCTGGAGGGGAATTATATGACGTTGAGGGGCAGACCTGCAGTTTAGATCCACCTGCTCTTTCTCCAGAGGCCCTTTCTGAGGTTGACCAAGTGAACCGATGAATCTTCCTCAGTGCTGGACCGTCCCCTTCCTGGGGACAGAGTGGGGAATTCAACCCACAGCCCCGTGTTGTGCAGTAAATCAGAGCCCTGCAGGGAGTGCTGGTCCTTCTCTGTGCTGGTGAAGTCTGTAAGTGGAGCAGGGCTGGAGTGTTCAGCACTGAGAGGACGTGGGGATATCAGCGACGTGACAAGCCGAGCCAGAATGGAAAACTTCCATGAAGGCTTTGGGAACAGGGGTCTGATCTCAATGACAGTTTTGTTATGGCTTAGGGAGATTCAGCAATTGCATGAGGTTGCCAATCTAAAGTGGTTTGGATTCCAGTGTTTTAATTTGTTCCTTTAGCTGAGGAGTTTGTCTAACAGAGCTGGAGCTGAACTCCCGAGATGGGAAAAGGCAAAGCGTGGAAAAGGCTTGGAAGGGAACCCAGCTGTTTAACAACCAGCCCAGATCATCAGCTGTGAATCCTTTCGTTTGCCTGCAGAGGAAATAATATGAGATTAATAAATGAAGCATTCAGGGGCTGGGCTGGGAGGTATGTGGGATCAAATAACATTCTAGGCAAAGACAAACTCAGGCTGTAAATGGAGCTAAGAAACCGTCTGAGTCTGAACAGGACGGGCTGTGTTAGAACCTCATTTGGGCAGGGAATTAAGAATTGATCCTGTTAGTATCTGACAGGGAATTGTTGACACTCTTGTGTGTCCTCCAGCAGCTTCTACATCTACCTGCAACTTGTTACATTGACTCTAAAATATCTTAATCTGAACTCCTTTAACTTTGGGCTTGTTTTATTTTTAAAGGAAGCTTGTTGCAGTGAGATGGTCTGAAATACTGGGGCAACAGCAAAGATGTATTTGCCATTTATTTGCAAGTGTCACAGTTAAGCTCTTATGCTGTAAAGGACTTTTCTGCAGATTGTACAAAACCCCAGTTTGGGCAGTAAAACTGCCTTCCCTGCTTTGCTAGGGGAGATTCAGAATTATTCCTCTTTCTCTGGGGATCACAAGGAATCAGTGACAGAATATAAAGGCTGTGCATGAGATTTTCCAGTACTGACCTACTTCTTCTCTCATTAAAATCACTGTGAGTTTTACCATTGACTTTTCAGGCAGTCAGGCCAATATTGTGTGCTAATGAAATTGCTTTCCAAAAAGCTTCTCCAGTAGTTGTGTCCAACAGTTCCAAGCCATGGGTCACAATATGATTTCAAAAGCACCGAGGAGACCATCAGCATTGTGAAACGTATTTCCTGGCCCTGGGTGGCTCAAATTTGCATCTCATAGGCTGTGGCAGGAAGGAGAAACCACACAGAGGGCCCTTTTTGGAGGAATCTGTTTGTGCATTTGCCTCTGTGGTCTCCTTCTCCAGGGTTCCCTCATCCTGTGGAGGAGCCTGACAGGAATATGGAGGGCTGCACTACCCCTCTAGGCTACACAGGGGTTGCATAAGACAGGTAGTCTCAGGGAATTCACTGCTTTGTTATTTCTACCCTGTGAGCTTTAAACATTTAGGATTTTTTTTCCTTTTAATTCTTTTGCAATTTGTTCCATAGTTCAGTGTTTCACACTGTCTGGACGTTCAACAGCCCAGAGAGCTCTGCCAGAGGAGCCCAGACACAGCGAAAAAGGATTTTTTTTGGGTTCAATGCATATCCATAGGAAGGAGATTTACCTGGGTCAGGTTTTTCCTCAAGTACCTACAGGAAATGCTGAATAAGCATAACAGCTTACGTGGATGGAAGCCCGATTTTCCTAATATTAAGCATAGAATCAGAGCCAGGGATTTGGTTTGGGGCTAAATGAACTCCAGGATGTAAAGCCGAGACCAAAAGAAAAACAGAATTTTAAACTGTATGCTTTAAAGTTAATGAATAGTTACACTGTCTGGAATACTGCAGGAAATAAAAACTCTGGGTTTTCTTGACTTCTTACTTTTGGAGATTTTTTTTTCCTTGCACAATTTAGCAGTCAGAGATCTAGAAAAGGAAGACCCGTACGTTCAGATAATTTGGAGAGATAATTTTTTTTTTTTTAAAAAGGGGGAAAAAAATATTATCTATCCCAAACTGGCTGAGCTGAGGCTGTGAGAGGCTGTGAAAGCAGCAGCAGTGTGCCCTCCAGCGACAGGAGCTGCTACAGCAGCGAGAGTGACAAGCTCCCCAGGGACTTCTCCACACAGGGATGCTCAGAAAGTTAATATGAATTAATCAAAAATATGACTAAGTGAAAATATCTCCATTCCACTCTCACCACCTTCCCTTCAGCAGATGCCTGCCTTCTTAGTTTGCTCTTAATTTGCTGTGATCTTCCTACCCTTGGAAAATGATAGAATTGTTTTTGGCTTCTAGACTAAAATACACCAGAAAAGAATGCAGGTTCTACATCTGTAAGTAGCTGCCAGTTTTAATAATTTTATGTACTTTGATGGACAGTCCAGGAACAAGGAGCTTTGTGGTACACAGGACCTTGATTTTGCAATGGGATTGCAGAGGGAAACCCACTGGCTTGGGGTAGGGACTGAGGGCACTCAGCATCCTGCCCTTCCTTGCACTGGAATGACTCCAAGGGCTGGTCTCTGAGGGGAAAATAGGCTGGATTATGAGAGAGGAGAGAGAACCTGGAGGTGTTCAAGGTTGGATGAAGCTTGGAGCAACCTGTTCTAGTGGAAGGTGTCCCTGGCCATGGCAGGGGGTTGGACTAGACGACTTTTAAATGTGCCTTTCAGCCCAAACTATTCTGTAATTCTATTCTATAATTGTGTCTTCATTTAGGTTTCCAGCACTTCTGTGCCCTAAGGACATCCCAAAAAGGTGGGCAATCCAAAGGTCAACAGAGATGTATTTCTGTAAAAATGTAATGATTTATAAACTGAACCTTGTTCTTCTGCATGGAGAGGATAAAACCACTGAGGTGATAGGTCAGAGCTGGTTATTTTTTCTGAATTCTCTTTTATTGTTTGAAGTGTGGGTATTGATGTAAGACTGTCCTGCCCTCCCTTGCTCTTTTTCTTGTACACATACAACTGCATGAAGAGAGAGAGAGAAATCCTCTGAGCTGGAGGGGGTTCAGGTTGGACAACAGTAGGAATTTCTTCATGGAAAAGGTGGTCAGGCATCAGAAGGGGCTCCCCAGGGAGATGCTGGATTCACTATCCCTGGAGGTGTCCAAGGAGTGACTGGACATGGCCCTCAGTGCTCTGGGCTGGGTGACAAGGTGGGGATCAGGCATGGGGTGGACTCGGTGGGCCGGGAGGGCTTTTCCAACCTCAGTGATTCTGGGATTCTGTAATCCCAAAACAAACTTGAGACCAAGAAAGGAGAATGAAATCAAGAAAGCTTAACAAAAAAGCAGCGTTTTTTTAAGAGTTGTGTTTTGATCTGGGCGATGTCAGCAGAGATTTATGGGGTTGCTTGAGCAAGAGTTGAATTGCCTGTCATCTCCCACTGCTGAATAATCACATTGCACACAAAGTCTGCCTTAAACGTGTGAAGAGGGAAATCCTTCCTCTCCAGTGAAGGGAACTGATCATATGGAGAGCAGCTGTAATTGAATTAGATCCTGATTTAATAAAATACTATTAGGAGTGACACTGCCTTACACTGTAGTGGCAGCCCTTTGGAGTAGCACTCAAAGCAGTTGCCAGGTGGGAATCTCCAGCTTTTTAACTATAATTTCCTGGCTTTTTTTTTTTTTTTTTTCTGAACTACTTTTTCATAAGGGGAAAACTACAAAGAGACCACAGCTTACACAGACCTGAGCAGTTATCCTTAGCACAAAAAGAGTTTAGTTGATAAAATAGGTATTTTGATCAGATCACTGTATTACATCAGATTTTCAACTATTATTTTCAGTTTGTACATTTTTTCCATACCTTCATGAAGTTTTGAAGAAAAATAGTTGGTTTACAGAGTGGAAGAAATTGCTGGCTTGCAATGACTGTGTCATTGAAGAGAAGAAGCAGGTACACAAAACCACCTTGAGATCCCAGGGTGTATTCTGTGGTGGGAATAACAGGGTTTCCATCACTTGAACACTTCATAAAGAATGAAATAATTTGATTTTTAAAATATATCAGACAGTATGCAAGTCCTCTTTGGTGTCATAATTTGTCTCTTATTTAAAGGGAGTCTTTCATGATAAAGCAATAAAACTCAGAGATATTGACTGAAAACTCTTTAGGATTCTTTGGTTTAGTTGTTTACCACCAAGGAGAAATCATTTTACATGTAGCCCTGATTTTTTGACTTAATTTTCATAGTAATAATTAGTAATAATAGTGTAACATAATAAAATTTCTGTAAAGCAGGAAAAGTCAATATTTTGCTGTTTTCTAGTCCCTGGTACCATGTCCTGGTCCAATCTTGAAGCTTGTGCACACCCTAAATATGTGAATAATGTTGATTTCAGTGGTACTGTTCCCACACTCATAGTGATGTGTACAATTATCCAGTAGGAAAAAGCAGGCCTAATGTATAAAAAATATATGTTCACTCTTCCACAGCCCCATTGGTCGATGTCATGGGCAGGTAGGACCTGCAAAGCTCGGACAAGGTCAGCTTGGGAATATCTGTGAGGTTAATACACCTTATACTGTTTAATTCCTAAAATAATTAATTCCCTAATTGCTGCAGTCTGAATCACCCAGGCAGATCTTTCTTCTTTGTAGTCCCACCATGTTGACCAAACTTTGAGTTGCTCTCAAGGTGTGTGGGTGAGGACGTGGAGTTGGAAGCATTTGGGTGCACCTAGAATTGAGTTGGATCTAAAATCTTAAAACTTGGTGAACATGTGGAAAAGAAGAAGGAATTTCATTGCAGTGGCAATATTAATTTTTGTATTTGCTTTAAACTGATTTGAGCCACAGTGCAGTTTTCTCATTTTAGTTAAAAAAAAAAAAAACAAAACAAACCGAAACAGCTCTGTTTAAATGGATACTAAAAGAAAAATGGAAAACTATGAATAAAAAATGTAGCAGACATGATGGGGCTGGTAATTCCTGATTAGAAATCACTGCTGTGGCTGTTAGTGCTGTAGATCAAATTTACAGCTGTCTGAAGGTGTTACATTTAGAATAGTCTCATTTGGAAATCATTATAAAACTTTGAATACACTTTAGGTGGTTTGATTTTAGTTTTTAAATTATTTTTTAACCTTATTTACAACCAGCTTGTTGAAACAGTTCCTCTTTCTGTTCTTCATGTTTCCTTCCCCTTCAGTTATTAGGGCTGCAGACTTTAAAAGGCAAATTTATTCATTACAGAGGAGGACCATGCATAATATAGAATTCATGCTGTTTATCAAAGCCTGAAAAAATAATTATGGAATTTGTGCATGAAGGAATAGAATTTACACATGTCAGTAGGATGATATTGTTGTTTATCCACCAGAAAAAAATTATTTGCCTGAGGCCATGAAGGTGTAGTATTTCTCAGGACTCACTTATCAGAAGCCTCCTGACTTTATGTGAGTTAATACAAGGATTTGACTGCCAGTCATCCTTTTTCCTGAAATAAAAGAAAATTAAAGTAAAATAAGAGTCTTCAGTCACTTTTATTTCAATTGTTTTGAGATATTTGGTCTCATTCTGACCTTTCAAATAAACAGAGATCTACTCAAATTAGTTTGTCCGAGTGAAGGTGTGGCTCAGGCAGTCTGGGATGTGCTGAGCAGTTATTTTTTGGGGCCTGTTGTCTGTCCTGAAGAGAAATTACTCTGTTTTAGGTACATAAAAAATTAAAATTCATATTAGACTTCACTTAGTTTTCTTTGGAGGTTTCTGTTTATGAAGGCTTAAGTACAGCTTTAATTTCATTGTCTCCATGAATCTGCCCACTGGAAGTTGTTGTTTGAAGGCAAGTTGTTTTCACTTGGTTGTTTTATTTATATTTTTAAATATTTCAGAAACCAAGGGTATTTCTAATTACTGAAATCACAAATTACACAGCAGAAGGCTTTAGACTGAATCCTCCTCTCCCTCCAAGAAAATTAAGCATAGAAAACAATAAAGATAACAAATAATAAAGACAATATTATAAAGAACAGTAAAGACAACAGCAGAACCTTAGCCCATGGTTAGCCTTTAAATACATGTTGTAGATATTGTTTTTCCTTTGTAAATCAGAATTTCAGTGGTGTTTATTCAGTAGGAAAATTGGAAAGAGAGAAGTGAGTCAGGTATCCAAATGAAGCTCCTTCCACTGCAAAACCCCACCTGAATAATTTCAATTTGAATTAAATCTCAGTAGGCTTTGGTCAGGATAGACATCATCCCAAATCTACCCCTAAAGGCATAAAAACAAATCACCAAAACCTTTCCCTGCAAGTGCTGTCACCAGCAAGGGACCTCCAAACTTCAATCCACATTGTTTGCATTTGAGACAAAACAAACACATACAATGTTGGAGCTGCACAACAGCTAAATTAAAATGGATGCAAAAATGGTGTTTTAGGACTTACATAACCTCCAGCAGTTTCACTGAGAAATATATGCTATTTTATGCAACAGCAATTTGGAATGCTACAAAAATAATTACTTTTAAAATCCATGCTGCACATATGCAGATGGTTAACAAACTCTGGCTCACTCAGCAGATGAAAATGATATTGGGAAAATCCATGCTCTAGAGATAGTGCCATTCCATTATGAATGTTCAAAGTATGCAAAAACATTACAGCTATATTGTTTTCCAGAACGGACTGGATCTCAATGCCAGATGTTTTATTCTTTGCATATCTTGTTGTAGCTTAACAATTACTGCTCTTTGAGTTTGTCCAGGCTGGGAAAGGAAATGTGAGTTTTACATGTCTGTCTAATGCTTGTCTGGTACACACAGAAGGTTCTAGTGAGTTAATCTATCTCCCAGCTCTCTCCTGGTCATTCCTGTTGCCTAAATAACAGAGAACTCCTTTTGGTTTAACTAGTTTGGCTTTAAACCCAAACAGAGCTCTTGCACCACTCAGGACATGGGAGTCCACTGGAATAAGTGGGATTTTGTGCCACCTGGAAGGAGCATTTCTGAGGCAGGAATGGGATAGGTGAGCACTGCCGCCCTCACTGCTCCCACTGACAAGGCTCCCAAAATCTTGTCACCTTTGTCTTTACGAAGGTTCAGTGGTGAGAGGAAAGACCACATGAAAATATCCATTATTTTATAGGTCTGTCCTTAGATTTTACTGTACTGAAATTTATAATATTTTTTATTGGACATTCAGTTGCATTTTTAGAGGTTGGTATGTGTGTATCCCAAAATACTACCCTTTATGTGTTCCACAAAACCTTCCCTCTTTATGGGATCATTGCCAAGGGGAGCAACACCTTTGCCCTTTAGGAGTATCTTCACCTGCATCAGACATTTACAGTTATCCCCAAAATAACATTTTTCAGTGAAAGCAAGATTTAAAAGTAATTTCTTCAGTTAAGACTGAATGATAAACTGTAAATTTTCCTTTTTTTTCTCAGAAGATGGCATTTCTCAAAATCTTTAAAGCACAAGTGCATTCTGTATTATACAGAGGGATTTTTATCATGAATTAAAACTGTTTCAGTTGTCATCCTTTAGCCTTATTGCTGATTTACTTAATTAGTAATTTCTGAGAACAGCCATAATAACTGTCACAGATACTGTGGGAGAGTCATCAACACTCTGCATGTTAATATAATTGTAGAGTTTTGTTACTTTTCCAAGTGTTCTTGTTATCACCAAGTGCTACTTCCAGTGTTTGCCCACAGTATTCCATAACTGAAGGAAATCTTTCTTTAAATCAGTGTGGACTGCAATTGTAGGAGCCTTCTAAACCACAATCCATGTTCTGCAGGAGTTTGCATTAGGGGAAGAATCTAAAATATGGTTTAACAAGCATGTGACAATAAATTAAGGAAATACATTTTGATATGTGAGAAAAATTGGTTTCCACAAAAATACTCATCTCCTCCTAGTCACAGCTGTGACTTTTGAATATGTATTAAGCTCTGCAAGGATAGCTAAGCTAGGAATTTGGCAGTAATAGTCTATTCATAAATATACATGAAATGTGAAAAAATAGTTTACGGAGTTGAAAGTGAACATTGGTCAGAGTAAGCAGATATACCTTGGGATAAAAATTGCAATTCATTGTCAGTGTATGAAGCCTTTGCTTTTACCTTCTAAATGTTACAGTGTCATTAGATTTTCTCATCTATGCTGCATTACTTATAATTGAATAGTGTATTAACAAGTGAATGGTTGTTTAAGGGGAGAGAAAGAACCTTCTACCCAGGCAGTTTAAGTTTTAATATCTACTCTCCAACAGAAACAACTCATTTAACATTCAAAGAGAGATCTTGGCTTTTTCTCTCAACTCACTTTACCTCAACAAACCAGATGGCAAACGTCTCACTGAGAGTGCCAGTGAAAACAGTGTCTGCATCTGCCCACCCTCATGTTTTCCTTGCCAGCACAGGGGAAACAATATTAAATTTAGGGTCTCGTATTAAGCACTTGCAGCTACATTTCTAGTTTTTCTCATTTTGCATTCTCACACTTCATTGAGCCAAACTACTGACAGTTTTTACTTATTCTGATGTATGGCAGGGGGTGAAATACATTTATTGACATCGTATTTCATGTGGCATCTTCCAACAATGAGCAAGTGTGCCTTTGAGTGGTGTTTAGTATTTTCTTTTGGCTGGTGTTTGCCAGTTTTTTCACGCACATGTGTAGAAATCTCTTAATTTACAAGGTGATCATATGTGATTTGAAGGCAGAATTATTGTGTAAATAGATAGTTTTTACATATATATACCTCCAGAAGCCTTGGTGGCGAAGGGGAGATCTTTGGAAAGGAAGGATATTGGAACACCGAGAAAGCAAATTAAATATTGAATTGGATTGTGATTAATAAGAACCAGTGGTTACACCTTACTTATTTTGTATTGACCACATTCTAGTTTGA